TGTGTGTGTGTGTGTGTGGCCAGCTCAGCCCACCAGGGGGCGGGGCTGGCTGGCATGTGGTGCTGGGGGATTGAACTGCGGTCCCTGTGCTCTGCTTGGCTTAGTTTGTTCTAAGTAGGTGCTTTAGACCACTGAGCCATCTCACCAGCCCTCTTGAATGCTTTTGACCACAAAACTTGTTTTTCTAGCGGTACCTGTTAATGTCTCTAGGAACACAGTGCTCGTTAGGGAGTATGAGCCATTCTGTTATGAGGTTTGTTAAGGCAGTAACCACAGTTTGCTTTGTCATCTTCAGTCCATCAGCAGTGTATCTAGATGTTCCCAGTTGAGTTGTCTTGGCACCAGGGGTATAATTATCCAAGGAGTTAACACAGAAATTACTTTTGTGACCAAGCTTCAGAGTCACATACCCTCCTTTCTGCCATGTCTTTTTGGCCTTTAAGACCAACCTTATCGAGTGTGAGAGAGGACTCTCTGAGGGCCTGAGTACCCATAGCCTCAGATTCCTGGGGTTTATCTTGAGGCTGGTTTCTTTGTTTTAGTGACTTCTGTCCTCTCACACACAGGAGACACTCATTCGCCTCCTAAGGTCCCCCAAGTTACATCCCATTACAGCATCAGCTCATATTTGCTATTTTATACATTCCAGAATGTTCGTGGGCCGGGGAAATGGCTCGGTAGAATAAGCGCTTGCCTGGCAAGCACAAGGGCCTGAGTTCAAAACCCTGGTTCCACCAAAAAACAAAACAAAGATCTCAGAATGTTTCTGAATGTGGATTTATCCACCTTAGAGGAAGTTTCTCAAATATAATTGCTTGCCCCTGGTGTAGTCAACAAACTAATGCACTGGGCCTATGATAACTGGCCAACTCTGCTTTTCATTTTATTTTTTATTTATTTTTTTTGTGGTACTGGGGATTGAACTCAGGACCCTGCCCTTGCTAGGCAAGCACTTACTCTACTAAGCTATCTCCCCACACCTCTGCTTTACAAAAGGGAAAAATAAAAGGAACTGTTAGTTCCCAACACATCAGCCCTATACCTGCTGGCAGTTTCTTGATTAAATGTGAGGCCCGGGAATAACTTCCCCTTTGCCTGTTTTTCTCATGGTAGGTATAGATTGGCAAGTGCGGCCTCCTTTACCAAGACTTCCACCTCTTGGCAAAACGTCTCTCAACAGGGAACAGCGTTTTAACACTTCTCTTGCTAACTTGGTCATCCTTCGTGGGAAAGATGTGCAGAGTGCAAATCTGGGTAAGCAGAAGTCAAGGTGAAAACTACATTTTATACACGTGCACAGTAGGGTCCCTCAGCCAGGCGTGGCAGCACGCACCTGCAATCCTAGCACTTGGGAAGGCCAAGGGTCAAAGGTTCAAACCCAGACTTAGCAACTTAGTGAGACCCTTTCTCCAAAAGAAGCCCTTACGTTTACTCTTAGAGGTAAGAAGGTAATACTTATGTTTTAGTTTCACATGTAACCATTGTATCAGTTCCTATGTGACTGTACACCAAAATAGCAGGTTTTTTTTTTTTTTTTTTTTTTTTTTTATGTTTAGTGGTACTGAGGATCAAACATGTCCTTGTCTTTGCCAGGCAGGTGCTTGTGTCACTGAGCTACATCCCCAGCCCTAGAAGGGGTTTAAACAAGATAAAAGTTTAGCTCTTCTGAGCATCCAGTTGCTCTGTTGTCCTTACCTTCCAGCTTCCTTCTCAGAGCCCAGGACACCTGTGTGAGTTCCAGCTGTCAAACCACACAGGACTGAGCCCATGTGGTAGGCACGGGTGGAGTACAGCACTGAGGAGCCTGAGGCAGAAAGGTCCTGGAGCTTAAGACCGGCCTAGAAAAAGATAACATTCTGGTGGTATAGTTCAGTGGCAGAGTGCTTTCAAGGCTCTGGGTTCCAAAAAAAGAAATCCCAGAGGAACAAGCAGAGACACACTTAGTCTCCAGAGTCACATGTCACAGTTACATCTCTCCTCCTGGCTGGGTCTGAGTCAGGTTCCACAGCTTGGTGCTAGTGGCTGGGAATGTGGGTAAAAGGTGGGGCCACAGAGTGGGATGAGCTTGGTGGTAGTTCCCCTTGTGTGTTGCAGGCCCTGGGTCAGATCCCAACTGCTGCACACCTGGAGGACCTGTTACTAAAGGCAGAAGGGGAGATCAGATTGCTGGACAGGCAGCAGTTGCTGTACCAGCATGCGAAGGTAGAAGAGCAGTGTGCTTTTCTTTTGAGACAGGGTCTCACTATGTAGTTCAGGCTGGCCTCAGACTCACAGCAGTCCTCCTGCCTCAGTCTCCTAAGCACTGAGATTACAGGTGTACCACCATCCCCAGCTTTCTTACTACTTTTTTTTTTTTAATTTTATTTATTTGTGTGTGTGTGTGTGTGTGTGTGTGTGTGTGTGTGTGTGGTCAGCTCAGCCCACCAGGGGGCAGGCTGGCTGGCATGTGGTGCTGGGGGATTGAACTGCGGTCCCTGTGCTTTGCTAAGCTTAGTTTGTTCCAAGTAGGTGCTCCAGACCACTGAGCCATCTCACCAGCCCCTTTTACTACTTTCTGAATGATGAATTACTGCCACTTATTTTTGAACAACAAATACGAGTCATTCTTTTTTTTTTGTTATTGTTTTTTCTTTTTATTTATTTATGTGTGTGTGTGTGTGTGTGTGTGTGTGTGTGTGTGTGGTCAGCTCAGCCCACCAGGGGGCAGGCTGGCTGGCATGTGGTGCTGGGGGATTGAACTGCGGTCCCTGTGCTTTGCTAAACTTGTTCTAAGTAGGTGCTTTAGACCACTGAGCCATCTCACCAGCCCCTTGTTACTGTTTTTGTCCTTTGAAACATGGTCTCACTATGCAATTCAGGCTGGCCTTGAACTCACTTTGTAGCCTGGGCTTGCCTTGAACTCGCACTGATCCTCCTGCCTCAACCTCCTGAATTCTGGGATTATAGGCCTGCAGCCACCACATCCGGCTTTGGTCACTCATTTAAATGCAATGTAGAAGACAAGGGCCAGCCAGGGACATAGCTCACTGGGATAAGCATAAGCACCTGCCTGGCAAGTGCAAGGTCCTGAGTTCAATCCCCAGTAAGAAGAAGAAGGGGGAGGAGGAGGGAAGGAGGGAAGGAAAGAAGATCCAACAATATGGTACATACAAGAAACACATTTCACTCAAAAAGAAATTCATAGACAGTCAAAGGATGGAAAACAATACTCCCAAGGAAAAAACAGGGGAAGATGTTCTATTTGCAGACAACATAGCTTCAAGCCAAGACTGATTAAAAGAGATAAAGAAGGTCGCTACCCATTTGTTAAGGGAAAACTCCAAACAGAGATAACAATCACAAATATATATGGACCAAATACCTTTGCACCCAACTATATAGAAAAAAATATTAATGGCCATAAAAAATCAAGCACTAACACGATGTAATGAGGGACCCTAATATCCCATGCCTTTTAGAGGTGTAGTTTTGCTACATCATCCACGCTGTTGTCAAATTCCTGGGCTCAAATGATCCTCCTACCTTGGCCTTCTAAACAACTGGGACCGCTGATGTGTGCCACCCTGCCTGGCTTTTCTTCCATCTTTAAACATCTTTGACAATGCAGTGTTTTAGAGGGGTACGTTACAACCTTTTGTTTTAGTTTACTGCTGCCCTTAGATATAATTGCACTTTCCTTCCTTCCTTTATTTATTTATTTAATTTATTTATTCTATCTTTGTTTTCTTTCATGAAACAGGGTCTGGTTTGTAATCCAGGCCAACATTGAGCTCATAATCCTGCTTCAACTTCCATCTGCAGGTAGAACATTGAAAGTATTCTCAATTTTTCTACCATAGTGAAAGCTTAAGCTAAACAATATGGGGATCCAACAAGAAAGGTTTAAACTGTAATTCCCCTAATGTATGCTGTTATTTTTACTAAATAATAATATACATGCATGAAAAAGAAGGTGTATTACTATGATGAAATAGTTGATGAATTCAGCTTGCAGCTGTTAACTCTCTGTAAGTCACACCCACGTTGTCTCCCTGTGCCAGGGGGATTCGAGGACCCAGCCCTGTACACCTCTTGGCTGGGCCCTGCCAATGCCTTCTCCGTCTGGAAAACACCACGAGCCTTCAACAGATACGAGAGGTCCGCAGCCTTGGTCAGCAACAGCCAGGCCTTCGTGAAGCCGCTTGATGCGGTTGTGGGCAAAGCGTGGAATATGTTCGCTTCAAAGTAAGTCAGATGAGACCACAGACCTGGCTCAAGGTAGCAGATGGCTCGGAGCAAAGCACAGGCCTGGTGGCAAGCCTTGTGGGGACCTGGGGGTGGGGAGCACACATGACACATGGACAGCCTGGCTTCCTCCACAGCATGGGGGGGTCTTTCCTGAGAAAGCATTGGGCTGGAGTCACTGAGGTAAATGGTAGGAAGGCCCTGTGTTTAGGCTGTGCTATGACCATGACATTGATATTTTTGTTGACAAAATGAGTAGTTCCTAAACCAGAGAAAATTTTATTATAAGATAGATACCATTGGGCCAGGAATCTAGTTCGCTCTGGCAAGTACAAGGTCCTGAGTTCAATCTCTGGATTGAAAAAAAAAGACCATCAGGGCTGGGTGTGGTAGCCCACATCGTCAATCCCAGCACTGGGGATACTGAGGCAGAATGATCACCATATATTGGAGGCCAACCTGAACTACAGAGCAATAGTTCTGTCTCAAAAAGACAAAAAGAAAAGAAAAAGGACAGAGCCAATCAGATAGTTTTCAAAACTAAGATATAGGCCAGGGATGGAGACACATACCTGTAACCCTAGCACTTGGCATATGAGGCCCTATCTCAAAAGCAGGATCCTTGAAAGAGTGGAAAAGAGTCTGTTCTTCCTCAATAAGAAATATTTCAGCAGCTGTCTTTTGGTTTGGATTTTTGTTGGTTTTGGTTTTCTGTGTGTGGTACTGGGGATTGAACTCAGGAACCTGCGATTGCCAGACAAGCGCTTATTCTACTGAGCTATCTCCCCTGCCCTGGTTTGGATTTTTGAGATGAGATTTTGCTTTGCAGTTCAGACTGGCCTTGAACTCACTGTGTGGCCTAGGCTGGCCTCGAACTCAGAGTGGTCCTCCTGCCTCAGCCTCCCTTCCAAGTGCTAGGATTGCAGATATATGCCACAGCGTCCAACCAAAATGAGGTTTCCTTTTTCTTTTTTTTTTTTTGGTGGAACCGGGGATTGACCTCACAAAACGAGGTTTCTACGAGATTGTGATACTTGAGTGTTCATGAGATAAGAAAGGTCTGTTGTTGCTTGATTGCCCTTTTTATTCCTCTAGCTGTGCGCTGCATAATGAATACACGCACCGCGGTGCTGGCACATGCTCGTCTCCATCTTGATCCTTTTATGTCCTCTTGCCCTCCCCTCCCTGCTGTTATTTTATGTAAATTACTGATTTGCCTGAAATAGTTCGTTTTACATTTTCTCGGTTTTTTTTTTCCCCTCTAGAGCTTATATTCATCAGTACACAAAATTTGGAGTTGAAGAAGAGGACTTTTTGGACAGTTTCACATTGCTAGAACAAGTTGTTGCCAGTTACTGTAACCTCTGATTTTGAATAAAGGGGGAAAAGTACCTTAAGGCATTTTCTGACTTTATTATTATTATT